ACGACGCCCCTCCCTGAATGACCTGATGGTGAAGTGGTACAAAGAAGATGAAAAGGGGCAGATGGACCTGCTAGAAAACAATGTGACCGTCTTGCCAAATAACTCCAGGGTCTTCATGAGTGGAGACTTGTCCCAAGGGGATGCCTCCCTGGTTATCCTCAATGTGACAACCAGTGACCATGGTATTTATTTCTGTGAGGTTACACTTCCAGACGGGAAGGTGGTGACAGGAGATGGCACAAAGCTCAGGATCAGGAGGGCACTGGGTAATAATTGATGTTATTGACTTCTTTTCTCCTTGTTTTTCCTCCAAAGCTGGTTTACATGCTTGCAGAAAGGGAATTTGGCCTGTTTGTCCTCTAGCTGTAAGGGCCCGGTGTCATGGAGTGTAATTGCTCTATAGCATTTCTCATTATTTTTGTAAGGCCATCTAATTTTGATTGGCTTGTGTCTATAAAAAGCCAAACAGGTATTATATAAGGAGGAGCATATACAACCAAAAAAAAGAAGGAATAATTTTATCCATAAAAATTAAGTCAGTGCCAAGAATGAAACAGACAAGTTCCCTTGTAATCACAGCTCTGGCAGAACCCCCATGAGTGAAAGGTGTCAAGATATCATCTCAGGGAACAGCTCCAAAACTTTTTTTTTGACATTATTTTTCTCCAACCCACTAACTTGCATAGTCATTCCTTAACTCTGGATGACATAAGTAATCCCATAATGAACACAAGGATCATATTGTATAATTTCTGGTTAACTTCATTCACATTAAAATCAAAGTAGCATTAAAAGTGACATGCTGTGTTTTCTTAGCCTCTCAGATAGACACTAGGCATATTAAGTAAAGAGAGAACTCGCTTTGCCTTTATCAGCTGGAAATGTCAAACCATTTTCCATAGGCTAAACACATTACAGTCCCAAAAAGTCAATACATCAGAAGGGTTATTATCTTATGATCTAATTAACAAAAAATAGCACCTTCTGTGTCAAGAGTAAATTATGCAAGTGCCATTTCCCCCTTATTAATTACCAAAGCTTCTAGCTCACCAAGATTCACTAGGCCTTTGTTCTTTTGAGCCTGATTTACTAATTTGTATGAAACTATTCAATTTAAACTGCAACACTAACAAGGCAAGAAAACTGTGTCCTTCTGCAAGGGCTTAGTTGTGTAACTAATGGGGTCTTCTCTTGGCTTGATCTCATAGTCTCAATAGTGCAGGTTACTCTTGCAATGTCTACACTCGAGCCAGTATAATTGTTTTTGTGTGTTCCTGAGACTATGAAATATGTAATTTCAGCACTATGCCATCTCTGCCATGTAACAGTCCCAAAGAGCAACCAATTGAAGAAAGGATTTCAGAAGAGCTCTGTCCACTCTCCCATGCTCTCTTCTTTGGAGACGGATGAGGAGACCGATGATTTTGTTGAAATTGTCAGAGTAATTTTTTTCCATTTGAAAATAAAGCATATGGCATGAGTCCCATTAATTCAGGGAGCAGCATCTTTTGCCATCCCATAGCACCTAGCTGTTAAGGGAGATTCCGAGGGCAGTGGGGCTGTCCTGTCTCTAAAGCCCCAGAAGGTGTAGCAGCTTGCTACATTGGAGTGAAAAAACTCAATACCTCTGTAGTGCAATACACTCTCTCACGTAGAGGCCCATGATTTCATGTCAGACAAGACATCAACATAATCGATATCCTAGTAAGTAGCTTCCTCTTCAGCCACGGCAGAAAACATGCTGGCTGCATTGCATGTCTGCACAACATCTTATGTTACTCTCTCTACCTTCCCTTCTCCTGCAGCCTTGTTTGGTATAGAAGAATCCATTGGAACAATCATTGGGGTTGTGGCTGCCGGTATTGGAGGCATAGTGGTTCTGATCATTGTTTTAACCCCGCAGCTGAGGAAGTGCATCCTCTGCATGAGACAAGAGTCTCGCCAAAGGTACCTTTTTTTAACTTACTTAAAGAGGAGTTAGCCATTTACTTACCTCTGGTCAGACATGGGATCTGGTTCAGGAAATAAGCAGTGTGCATAAAATGCTAATGGGACTTGTTCTATATTCCATCTCTTTTTCAAATAATTCTTTGTTTATGCTGTGCAGACCCTGATGCATGGGCCTAATGAGCTACTTATAAAAAAACCAATACGATCTTCTTTAATTGCCACTTTTGACAGAGTTGTTCAATGAGATGCTGCTGCTTCTTTCAACAAAGTCCTGGGACTCATTCAGTTCTTTTAGGTTTATGCTGAAGGATGGTTCTTCCTCCTACCCACTACATGCTGTGTTCTTGTAATGCTTATGTACAGAAAGCCTAGGATGGCTTAAATGAGTGAGGTGTCGTTTGTAAAACCCAATAATCTCTTTTATTACATCAGCTGACGAGGTTGGAAAAACTAGAGGTTTTCATCACACGTGAGCCAAAGAAATGACCCAATAAGAGGCTGATGTGCCTGAAAGCTCACCTTTTTTTTTTTTACAGTTCTGTCAACTAGTCTAGTTTGAGGAGACTGACACAGAAGGCTGGATTTTGAAGCAAGCTTAGTTCCCATTTTGTGCAACCCGAGATGTGGTATGCATTTCAGACCGAGCTCAGCTGACTTTCTGGCGTTCAGTGAGGAGATGTGTGATTTGTACCTCTTCTCCTGGCACTCAAAGGTCTTGCTCGGCCTGCTGAAAAAAATCCCCTCCCGGAAAGGCTGAAGGAAGAGCTGCTCCTGCCATTCACTGGAGCGCTGCCGCCACCTGATGGACAGTGTGGCAGCGACAGGGACGCGCCAGGAGCTCTGCCTCCCTCAACGGGGAGGGTCTTCCACCCCTTGCTGGGAAGCACGCTCATTCCCTTAGGCTAATGCTGCCCACACAGCATCAGCCCTCTGCAAACCCTCTGCATGAAGAGTTCACAACTTCTTTACTTGCCAGAAAGCCTTGGAGGAGTTTGTTGTATTGTACTGACTCTGTATTATTCACTCACTCTCTCTCCTTTCCTTCTTGCTCAGCATCGCTTGAGGTGCAACATTGCAAGAGTTGCTGGAAGATGCGAAGCCTGCAGGTAGAACAACTTCTGATGCCCCGTAAGCCAAAAAATGGAGCTCTAGACAGAATAAAAGCCTTTGCCTCTACATGTTGTCTTTGAGATTTTTCTTTTTGCTGGCCTGTTTCTTTTCTTGTGGCTTTGACAGTCACAGTGGCATATTCACCATCCTCCTGCAGCAAGGAGCAAAGCAGCCTTTTGTGAAGAAATTTGCATTCTCACCTGCCAAAACACCACATAGTTTGGCCAGATTTGTCTGAATTTAGACTCTGATGAGGTACTTTGGGTCTTTCCATGCTATTATTTCTTATTTTAAAGGTGATATTCAAAGTTTGTCAGCTGTGCTTCAGCAGAGACAGAAGGAACCCGACCTAGCCAGCTGCTTCCACCTACCCAAAGAAATCAAAAGCATTGCTTCTAGGGTGTAGCTGTGGCTCCCATCTGCTTGTGCCTCCTGGTACAGAGGATCTTGTCCTGTTGCCTTGCTCCAGCCTATGGGCTTGTAACAAAGGCAGAAAGAAGGCCCACTTGTACATAGCTACCCCTGGCTGAAAGAACGGGATTTTGTTTTACTCTTGTCAGAAGAAAATGTAGTGTTTCAATATAAGCCTCTAATACCCTAAAAAAAAAAAAAAAGAGGAGAGAGGGAAAATGTTCTTGACATGACTGATGTTCTCCACAGTCTCCTTTTCCTGACGTGACAATAATTGATTCCCAGACAGTCAGTGACAGGGGGATGTACCAATATAGGAGACCATCTTCTATTTGTATCAGAGAGCAGCATATCAGCTCTGAAACCTGTGTAACACGTGAGGAGTATATTCTTTTGCAAAGTATGGCTGCACCTATCAGTAAGTAGAAGTCAGAAACACTGATCCTTGCAACACAGCTCAGAAGTGTCCCTAGTGCTGGGAGGCAGGAGCATGAGGGATAAGACAGCTGTGCTCTGAGCAACCTGATCTGACTAAAGATGCCCCTGCTCATTGCAGGGAGATTGAAACTACATGATCTTTAAAGGCCCCTTTCAACTCAAACTACCCTATGATTCTGTGATTTAAAAAAAAAAAAAGAAAGCCATTTGGTGACAGGTAATGTGTTCCCACTGCACTGCAGGCCAAACCCTCTGTTTCTGCAAAGGACATGATCAGACCAGGATCTTGTCCTTAATTCAGCATATATTTCACCCTGTCACAGAATCACAGAATGGGTCAGGTTGGAAGGGACCACAGTGGGTCACCTGGTCCAACCTCCCTGCTCAAGCAGAGTTATCCCAGAGCAAATTGCACAGGATTGTGTTCAGACAGGTCTTGAATATCTCCACTGAGGGAAACTCCACAACCTCTCTGGGCAACCTGTTCCAGTGAAGGGTCACCTGCACAGTACAGAAGTTCTTCGTTATATTTGAGTGGAAACTCCTGTGCCATCAGTTTCTACCCATTGCCTCTTGTTCTATTGCTTGGCACCACCGAGAAGAGCCTGGCTCCATCCTCTGGACACCCTCCCTCCAGATACTTATAGACATTGATGAGGTCCCCTCTCAGTCATACCTTCTCAGTGCTAAACAGGCCCAACTCTCTCAGCCTGTCCTCATAAGAGAGATGTTCCAGTCTCTTACTTATTTTTGTCACCTGTTGCTTCTCCAGCAGATGTTAGGGTAGTTAAAGTCCCCCACCAGAACCAGAGTCTGACTGAGGCTGCTTCAAACTCCCTGTAGAAGCCCTCATCCACTTCCTCCTCCTGACCAGGAGGCCTGTAGCAAACACCCACAATGATGTCACCCTTACTAGTTTGCCCCTTTACCCTAAACCATAAGCTCTCAACTTGCTCGTTGTCCACCCCAGGACAGAGCTCGATACATTCCATGTGCCTCACATAGAGGGCAACTCCACCACTGTGCCTGCCTGGTCTGTCTCTCCTCCCCATAAACCCTGGCCTGATAGAAATTCTTTCATACCATTGTTAGCTCTGGTAAAGGAGGAAGAATTTTATTGCAGCACCTTTGTGTTCAAAGGGTTGGAAGAAAGGTCCTAAAAAGACTATTCTGGCCCCCCATTTCTGACATGGCAGGTGGGATGAGTCCGTCCACATAAAAAATCTGGCCAGAGGATGAAGTGTGGGTTGTATGGGGCTGCTCCCCAACACTTGGCTGCTTCTTGGTCACACAGGCACACCATTTTTTCACACTGGTCTGTCAGGTTACCTGCAAAAGAAAATGTGAGCAGAGGATGAGAGATTCTATATCAGTTGAAGGCAAGAAACAGTTTTAGGAGGAACAATTCCCTGAAAAAGCAACTCTTAGGGATCAGAGGCTGTGGCAGCAGGCCCAACATGTCATGTTGTGAGTGAATCTGACCCTCCCCTGTCCTCTCTCTGTCAACAGACCAAGAGCATCACAAAGTAGCAACTAAATGTAAATTGGCAGTGCTTATATAAAAATTTGCCCAGTACAGAGCACTCCCTGCTTCTAGAGCTCTGTGATCAATGGGGGCTTAATTCAGCAGTCAGAGCTAAAGAAGAAAATTATTTTACCTTAGCCTGAACTAAAAATATTCTACCTTTCCTCAGTCAGTAAATTTCCCTTCTAATTCTTCCTTCTGCAAAACAGACTGATTTTGAAAGAAAAAAAAATGCTGCTTTGAAAGGAGAAGCCTCCCATAGGCAGAAACCTGAGGGCATAGCAGCATCCACTGGGCATTCTTCGCTCATGTTCCATTAGTTAATGTTACATCTCTCTCTGACCATGGCAGAGGAGCCAAGGAACTCTGCAACAGGCCAGGTACTTGAATTTTATGAGCCAGCAGCTAACAAAGCTGATCAAAACCATACATGGAACTGTAGAGAATGCAACTTAGTCATGACTACATGACTAAGTAAGGACCATAAGGAACATCAAAGCCACCAGCTTAGATGGCTACATTGCAAATGACTGATTTGGGGTTAATGAACCCCATCCCACCTCTAGGTGGCTCAAATGCAGCCATTGGGTTAATATTATTTCAAAGAAAAGTGCCTTGTTTCTTTGAGGCTGCTACCATGGATTATCTAACACCCACAAAACCTCCAGTTTGCAAAGTTCAATATATAATTTCATGCAAAGTTTCACTCCAAAACTAACTGCAATGAGTACAGGAATTGTTGCAGATTACACTGGTCTTTGCTGGATCAACCCTGTATCTGATAAATAAATAAAGCCTGTGTTTCCTGAGCTGGTCTGAACAATCACACATTTACTGGTAAAAAGTGTTTCAAGGATCCTACCAACTAGTTCTTTAGCACTAACGCCACTTTTTTTTAGCTACCTATCTTGCGTGATATACCAATCTTGCCCTTCTGCTCCTTTAGTTCTTCCTATGCTGTGCTAGCCACTATCTAATGTGAGTACAAAAGTCTGGCTTTGCAGCATTTCTGTTAGAGTAGAATGATTTTTTTGACCAGCCTCCATAACTTACAACCTTTCCTATATTTCGGATATTTATTGAATGCAATTTGCCTACAGATTATGGCATATATGGACTGAAGAATATGGTTTTGCCAATTATTTTCATATCACAAATAAAACCACTGAATGGTAGCAAAAGGAGGAGAAATCCCAGGTAAAATGAGTTTCCATTCAATTTACATGAAAATGTCTGTGTTTATGTTACAGTGTCAGGCAATAGGCATTTAATTCCTATTGCATTGGAATGACAGTGCAAACAATTCTGCTTCTAAAGCTTCTGGACATCATTACCCTGGGCCCAGCACGCATGCCTGGAAATTTAATTCTTCATCCCTTTTGTTTGAATGGGATCAGACATTATACCTTTGCACCCCAGTAACACCTGCTGTGCTGTAGCTTGGGGTAGGAAATATGCCTTCAGAACACATTTCTATTGTTCGTCCCCATGGGGTATATCAGGGGAAGTGAAACCTGCTGGGGGCTTGTGGAGAACAAGCCCTCATGGATGCATCTCAGGTCTTGCCTGGACATCAGTTAGGGAATTAATGGCATTTGTTTAACTAATGCTTGTTAGCCAAGTCAGAGCAACTGCAGCCCACTGCACTCCTATGGGACAGACTCTGCACATGTCTCATGGACTCAGTGATACATCTCATATTCACAACTTGTTCCCTCATGGCAAAAAGAAACAGGATTGTTTTTTTTCATTTAAAGATGACTTGCAGAGGGTATCAGTCACTTATGGAAATGTGGGTAAGCGGAAGGGAGAGCAGTTATACATTAAAGTGGTACATTCCTTAGCCAGCACTTTGTATTTAATAGGTTGCTCTGGCACTTGGAAAAGAGCAACTGCAGATGTGCTGTGCCCCATCCCATACCTCCTGGCATGTTTTCAGCTGCTGGCGAGGCTGAGGATTCCACCAATAGAATATGGTCTTTTGATAAGGTATCTTTTAATGTTTGAGCAAGTAGCTTTGATGATTATGGGGACAAGTTTTACTCTCATGTGTTTCTTTTCAAACTTTCAAAGTGTTCTACAATGGATTTTACCACCAGGGACTTCTTGAGGACTTAGAAGTGACAAATACTAAGACTCAAGTCATCTGGTGCATGTCAAAACAAACTCTGCAAGACACTGACGGTCTGTGATTGTGTAATTCAAACCTTCTTGACTGGGTACCAGCTGTGGAGCTCAGCACAGCCTACACTCACTGTATGCCTGCAGCACTGAAGAGCATTTGATTCTACAAGCTTCAAAATCCCTGCTGGAACCCGGGGATTTTAGACCTGAGCCCCACATGAGGCAGAGATGCAGGCTGGCACCCTGTTTAACCTGTCTTGCAGCCATGCAAAACAGCATGGCTCTTCTCTAGCAGCACATAAGGGTAAGTAAAAAAGTGAACAGTCCTGTTGGAGGGAGGGCCAAAACTGCAATGGGAAGAGCACCCCTGTAGATCATTGCACAGCTGTGGAAAGAGGTCAGTGAGGAGCAGGCAATGCTTAATGCCAGTGAGTAGAAGGTCTACAGAGAGGCATCTGTACCCCTGCCAAAATGAGATGGCTTGTGGACACCCCAACTCTCACTCTTCAGCCTGGGGACCACTCAGGTTCCCTGGAATGGGTGGTGCTGGGGCTCCAGCCTTCCTCCCAGCTCTAACTGGGGGCTCTTGGCAAGCCTGTCAATCCAGGGATGGGCAGAGATCTTGGTAGAGAATAGATGTTTCTTAAAGCAGCTTTGAGAGCAGCTCAGCATGCACAGACCTGCCTCTGGGGCCCACAAAGCTCTTTGGTCAGCCTAGTGCCTGCAGAGGGAGAGAAACACACCTGACAGGAGCAAACATTTCCTTACCGCACCGCACGGTGTTCTGCTCACACGTCCACCGGTAGCGCTGCACCTTGGGGCTGCAGCCTGCCTTCTCTGCCTTGTCATAGCAGCAGTCATGCATGTGGCAGCACCTGGGAGAGAATAAAAGGTAGAGTCTGGGTGTCCTCCTGCATCCTGCGTGTTTGCATATACTCCAGGATGGCTCAGCTCACACACAGCTCATGACAGCACCGTTTGCCCCTGGCTGTCAGTAAATCATCTGCTGATGAACCAAGTATCCTGACATCTGTTTGAAGGTTCACATCTCTCAGGAGCTCATTAATGCCATATTTGCTCCCATCACCACTGTGCTTCTTCCTTTGAGCTTCTGCCCTCAAAAAGGCACATATGGTCAAGACATGGTAATGTCACTGAAAGGAAGTTTTTTGCCTTCCTCAATATCACCAAGAAGCTTCATCTCTTCAGTTCACCTGGACCTCACACATGCTCTTTGACCCATCCATTTTCTGAGGGCTGGCTACAAGTTCATCAGTCTCAGTGGTGAAATTTGTATCAGTTAACTTCAGATCCTTAAATGCTCTCTCTATGCATATCTGGGGCACAGTTCACATTTTCATGCTGCAGAGATCTAACATAGTTGAAAACCATTGTATTTGAAAGTGCAATTGCATTTCGCTGACCATAGAGGGGGATGAGAGTGAGTAGCTCAGCTGATGACATCTGTCCTACAGACTAGGAAGTGAGATAACTCTCACTGTCAATTACTTCAGAATTTATATAAAACTTGACCCCACTTGAATTTTATTCTGGTAGTTTAAGGACTCAAAATAAACTGAGAAAAGATTCAGCACTTAAAGAGGTTCTCTGCTGAATAACAAAGGTTGTTTCAACAAAGATGCTAAGTCAGAGGCTGAAGGCAGATGGGAGTGATCTGTATATCCAGAAGCCATCCCTGCACAATTGCTCTGACTCTACAGAGAAACTACTCTACTAAGCAGGAGGAATCGAGACAGGCTGGGTTTAGGGGTAAATGATGAGTGGACAGCTTTTAGAGAAGCTCTGGAGTTGTGAATGTAAATCAGTTCAAGAGGTTGATGAGCTGACCAAAAGGGAGCATGGCTGTGCTGGGTGCTTGTAGATTACCAAACATAGTTGAAGATCTTGATTATCTTCAAGACCTGAAGCCAATGTACCTGAAAAGTCAATAAAAGTCTGAGATCCATCATTATGTCCCTGTGGAAAAGTGGAAAACCACTGCGAGAAGGATAAGGATTTCTTGTTCAAGAAATAGGGCTTCTCTAGGGACATGTTGGGAGCTGCCAGTACCTTATTCAAGACCTTAGGAGCATCAGGAACTTCATTACCCTCTGCTGCAGGAGGATTTTGCCCTTTTAGAAATTGGTTTATGGATATGAGGGATGGTAGGCTCTGTGAGGTGATAAAGCCCAGGAGAAAAAAAACAAACCAAACCAAACCAAACCAACCAACCAAAAAACCCACCAATTTTTGAAGTGCAAAGAAAATTCACCACTGATGCAAATTCTAATAAAATCCCTGGAACCAGATCAGGTGAATCAGGTGAAAGAGACAACAGATCAAATTCAGCCTTCATGTAACCTCTATGATTATATGGAGGCTGTATTTAGTTCAGCCTGCTTTCCCTACTGACTGAGGTCCCAATTTAGTGGTTAAAAGTAGCAATTTCATCCCACAGATGAGTCTGCAAACTAAATGCCTTTTTTTCTCTACCTCCGAAGATGAAAGCTGTGTGAGGATTACAACCAGACTGCTCACTGCATTGTGAAACATAGAAATATAAGTTAATTGTAGCAGACATTGTGGCATCTTCCATACCAGCTCCTCAAAGGACTTTGGAAAGGGACTAAGCCCTATGGGACATACATATCTAGAAGTTTTCCCATGAGGAGTTGCAGCAATTGCTATAATTGAGAAGACCTTACCCAGCCTATGGAATCAGTTCTGTTGGACATGACAAGAGTAACAGGCTGTGGGTCAGACCTTTGTTGGTCTAGTAACACTTGCCTCCTGGGCTTGTCCTGAAGAGGTTAGACATGAAAGGCTAAAGGAGAGAAGAATTTGCAGCCTTGTGGAAAGTGTGAAAGTCTTGGCTTTCTCCAACATTTGAGTCCATATACAATGAGTCATAAAATATGGCAGGGATGGACTAAGGCACTGAGCTACAACTGGGGTATGTGTCATCTGGAGGATTTACTGTAGCCCAGGGCATCCTGGCTAAGACCTGAAGCTTCAGCAAAGCCTAATCCATCCTCAGGAGGATGACAGAGAGCAGAGCAGGCCCATCATCAGTGGCTCATATATGGGACACAGTGCACAGGAGGCCATGGTGGAGAGCCACAATCAGGCTGAGCTGAGGCAGAGTGCCAGCTGTAGAAATCATAGAATCATAGAATCAGACGGGTTGGAAAGGACCTCTCAGATCATCAAGTCCAACCCTTGATCCACGACCACCACAGTTGCTAGACCATGGCACTAAGTGCCACATCCAGCCTCATCTTAAAAACCTCCAGGAATGGAGAATCCATCACTTCCCTGGGCAGCCCATTCCAATGGCTGATTACCCTCTCTGTAAAGAATTTCTTTCTAATATCCAACCTAAACCTCCCCTGGCACAGCTTAAGACCATGCCCTCTTGTCCTACTGCTGATTGCCTGGGAGAAGAGACCAAGCCCCACCTGCCTACAACCTCCTCTCAGGTAGTTGTAGAGAGCGATGAGGTCTCCCCTGAGCCTTCTCTTCTCAAGACTAAACAACCCCAGCTCCCTCAGCCTCTCCTCATAGGACTTGTGCTCCAGTCCCTTCACCAGCCTTGTTGCTCTTCTCTGCACCTGCTCCAGCACCTCAACATCTTTCCTGAACTGAGGGGCCCAGAACTGGACACAGTACTCCAGGTGAGGCCTCATGAGCGCTGAGTACAGGGGCAGAATCACTTCCCTGGTCCTGCTGGCCACACTGTTCCTGATCCAGGCCAGGATGCCATTGGCCTTCTTGGCCACCTGGGCACACTGCTGGCTCATGTTCAGCCTCCTGTCAATCAGCACTCCCAGGTCCCTTTCTGCCTGGCTGCTCTCCAGCCACTCTGTCCCCAGCCTGTAGCGATGCAGGGCGTTGTTGATCACAGGGTTTGTGAGGTCTGGGGAGTAAACCAAGAGGCAAATTGGGAAAGGTGGTGTCAGGGATGGAGGTACGTGGGGAGGAAGAACAACATGAAGGTAGATGGGCAAAGGAAGGTGTTAAGAGCCTCTGCCATGGGAAAGAAACTGTTCTTCATGAATAGCCAGAGGGAACAAACACAAAAAGAGGTAGGAGAAGAGAGAACAGATCTTGCTGGAGTAAAAAGATGGTCTGGGAATCAGGCAAGGACAAGCAAATAAGCACTAGAGCGGTGAGCGAGTTAGCTGTGAGAACTCACTGCTCCTTATCTGGCTTGGCGAAATCAGGGAGAATTGTATAAATTCTGCAGAACCACAGGATTTGGGACACAGTTTTGTTTCCCCTTACAGGAATTCCTCCTGATGACACCCATAGCTGTAGCAGGGTGACATGTAGCTTACACCAACTCAAAGTGAGAAGATTTTGGCTCATATTTTACAAACATCTGTTTCAGATGTGATGAGATGCCAGGGAGCAAAGACTGAGGAAGCCTTTTGTTGTCCTTTGCCACCTTCAGATAGTCCCCTCCTGTCTGGAAATGCCCTTTGCTGCACCTGGGTCAGAGTAGTGTTAAGCTTTTAATAACCTGCTAACACCAACACAAACAGAGCCAGCCAACACCACGGCAGAGCACTGGTCAACAGGTATGGAGAACAAATACAACTGTGTCATCTAGATAGTAAACAACCTGTTCATCACCTCTGGGCTATGAGACAGCCCTAATGGCTACAGACAGCTCCGGCTGGTCCCCAAGGATCAGCCGGCCAGACCCCTGCTGTGGAGCAAAGGCCAATAAAGTAAGAATTTGTCACATCGTATTTGTCATGTTAACAGCCCCATCATTGCTGTGTGGCTTTTTCTTTTGCTTTAGCTTTGCAACAGAGGAGAAATCGTTTTCCTTCCTATGCGTTTTCCAGGACTTAAAGGTTGGACTCAATGATCTTAGAAATTATTTTCAACCTTAATGATCCTATGACTTAGATGAGTCATATATGCCACCCTGCCTCTCATGGCATTGGTGTTTTCAGGGAAACACTGAGCACCCTCCAGGTCTTGCTTTACAAAATAGGTGCTGCAGCAACCTAGGGAACCAGAAAGGAGAAGGAGAAAAAAAAATCTATTTACGATGTGGAAGAGATGCCATTATGTCTTGAAGTGGTGAGACTGTAAGAGCAGAACAAAAGGGAAAAGGTAATTACTGACAACACCACATCAAAGTCAGTGTGTGGAATAAACCTTGTAAAAGGATTGCCCACTTAGTGGCTTTTTTCTTTTCAAATAAAAGAGAGGTGCTTAGAAGCATTCTAGCCCTGTCTAGACATATTGACTGAGTTACAAGAAAATTACTCCTTTTGTAAGGGTCTCAGTAACAAACCTAGAATGTCAAGAGAGTGGGTAATTTCAGACAGTGTTTGTCATTCATGGCCAGTAGTTTTGCCACTCTGCTTCCTTCTTTTTTGGAATGGCAGTTATGGAAAGTAACGTGGTCACTTTCACAGGCATGGAGTACTCAACCACACTGGTCTTTGCAGCAGTTCTCTGTAACAGATATCAATATTTCTCTAACAAACAGAAAATAGAATATTTTAGGGCTAAATCTAGTGGGGCATTGCTGGTTCTTCCCAGCTAAATAAAACCTCCCAGTTTTTCTATTGCAGCCAAGCATTGCAGCTAAGGAATAATAATGACTGTACTTAAAGGATCAAGCTTCCCTTTTACAAACTATCTGGTATTTTGAGGCATTTCCAGTTGCAAAGTCTCATTTTCTGCTTTTAGGATAAAATCCATATCCAATGGGATTCAAACAACAGCAGAAACACTGGCTGCTGAATATGTGGCCATATTTAACTCTCTGTTTTTCAGGAGTGCTGACTACTTGCATCTCCTGGAGTCACATAAACTTGGAGGTCACTCAGCCTCTATGGAAAACAGCTTTTAGGTCCCTCTGCTCAGCCCTTCAATAAAAGCAGTACTCCAAATTAGTGAAGTCATGTTTTACTTTAAAGGCTCTATTATGACAACTGGTAAATGGTAACAGAAATAATTAAACACCTCACATCCACTGCTGTAGATGGTGATAAGCAGATCAACAGATATTACTAAAAGTTAAAAGAAACCTATACACCTGAAAGCTATGATCCTTTGTAGGTAGTTACTCATCATTTGTGAGCCCCATAGTGACTGTTCATAGAAATATTTCACAGATAAAAAAAAGGGGCATGATGAGATGGCTTTGGGAGAATAACATCTCACTGCGTTAATGAAGGCAGCTCCATTAGTTTTAAGGGACAACTTCTTTTTCATGCCCACAGAGGAGCTGGCCTTTAACCTTGACATCTTTTCTTCCTTTTTTTTCTCTCCCTTTTTCTTACCTGGCAATTCAGCAAAATTTTGTAGCAATGTGAAATGTCTCCAGCAGCAGGGTATTCTGGAAAGCTCAGTTTCCTTTCCAGTGAGCTGCAGACCGCCTTCACCACTGCTAAAGCAGGGCTTGCTTATCAGTAAGGCCTGGTGTGTCCACTAGGTAAAGACAGACTTGTGTGCTCTGCCTTTGGTATTTCAAACTGGATGAGATTGCAAATAACAGGTTCAGAGCACACAAGAGTCCACTGTGCTCAAGCTTTACATGTATGCTAATCACAAAGTACACGAAAGAAACCTGATTACAACACTTCCTAGACACATTGCTTGTAGTCTTGGGAATAACAAGCACATCATCTCCCCCCACTAATAAAGAAAAGGGGAAATAATACCATGCTCCCCCTTGTTGTTCTTCCCTGATTCAGTGTGAACTAACAGGCAAGGAAGGCAACAGGTTTGATTGATTCCTCCTTGCAACAATCTGGATTTCTTCAAGAGACTAAACAGTGATATTCCCATTGCTGACATTTTAAGGACCTGGGTTAAATAACCCTCCAAATACCTTGGATCACTCTCTTTTTGTCAGGCAGAGTTTACTCTCTATGAATACATATTCAGCTATTTCAGGAAATTATATCCTGGTTTCCCCTTTGCCTTCTACCCCACATAGCACAAGGTCTCATCCAAAAGGAGGTTAAACCCTCATTCAAATCCCAAGTGATATGTGGGTCCTTACCCACAAATCCCCAGTACTGTTCATATATACTAAGTTCCCTCTCCACAAGGCAGGAAATGAGTCCGTGGAGACACAGTAGTACAAACAGGGAAGGGTGGGGAGGTTTTCACTGCTTCTGGACACACAGATGATGTTTTTCTTACCAGTCTGTTTTATCCTTAGGCCAGCCTCGTCCTCCCAGTCCACAGTAGCATCCATAGCCAATATATGCCAAGGGAGACCGTCCCGTGCCACATGATATAGCTCCAGCCAATTCAATGATTCCTCGAGTGTGCAGTGAATGCGATTTTCCCAGAGCACCTTTCCAAACTGTGAAGACAGGACATGGCTACACAGAGGAATTAAACTCACCTGTCACTGATTTTCCTACAGTCCTTAAAGGGAAATGGTTTTGGATTTGACTGGCTAGTTGGTTGCAGCCCTAACAATCTAACTAACCATGACATTCAGCTGGTAAGGGGGACTCTGCAGGAGGCTTTGCCTGAGGTCTGGGATGACCAAGAGGTGGATGCAGAAATACCCAAGCAGGCTACTTCTAAGGGAGCTCAGTTCAAGCAAGATTTACTATTTTCGGTCGACTAGTCTGTGATTGCAGCTCTATTGCACCCAGGAGCAGAGTGCCTGGTTTTGCACATCACAAAGCTCAAGCTGCTAAGCTTTGCAGGGTCTATGCTGGCACCATGCAGAGCCAGCTAGGCTTCTCTGCACTCCAGAGCTTCCAAACCTGGGAAAGTTTTCCAGCTATGCTGTGGTCCCAAGTGGGACATGAAGCAGCAGAGTACAACCATGCAACCAGACCTAACCTGGGCTCTCTGGAAAAAAATGAGGTTTCTGTGTTGCCCAAAATTTCTCACATTATCTGCTATCCAGGATGTTTTAACTCATTCTCCAGGTGGCAAAAAGCTGACAGTACTATTAGTTTGCATTAAGGGATAGCTACAAGTCCCTGAGCCTGTATAGTACATATTTTGTCAAGAGTATGTACTATAGGTACATACACAGAGTGCCTACATTAGCCAAGAGCCATGTATATATCACCTTTCTTTTGAGACTTTGGAAGTGCTGGCAACACTTGCATCCACTTCCGTTATTATGTTCCACTCAGTTCATAACAGGTTGGCCACATTAATTTGGGGGGGAAAAAAAAAAAAAAGAAAGGAACTCTATGTCAGCTGAAGTGTCTGAATTACCACCCAAGCCAGTCTGGAGATTTCAGAGTTACAACTTTTCAGTGCTGTGATTTTGCATGTTAATTTGGAACTGTTTTGGAAACCACAGACTCTGCAGTACTGGTATGGAAACCAAGAATACTCTGCCTCTAATACTCAAACCACTGTGATGCTCAGCTGCAAATGCTGATGCTTATCATGCTAGCAACAGCGACAAATAGGAGTATTTTATGCCTGGGCTTACTGTGAAGGACCAAGTGTGCTTTGCTCTACTCTGTCCTGAACTGCAAAGCAACTCACCAGTAGCATCAAACCCCTCAGACCAGCAGCCTAACCCATGTGCTTGTCCTACTCATGCACAACCACTCCAAAAAGAAACAAGGGGACTTCATGGCACGCTTGGATGGAGAGGGAAGTGATGCCTGGGAGCTGGGAACTTGACACTGAAGTTGCTTTGCCACCTGCCCCTGGTTACTGCAGCACGCTTGACCTCTTCAAAGTGTTGTGCAAACATGGACTAATTAATCCCCTAAACCACCCAAGGACTCAATACTATTATTAAAACAGTTGCTTTCCTTTTAAAACCTAGCCTCTAATCCCCTTGCTTGGGCCTCTCCCCACATCTTCTGGGCTAGCTCGCCCTCTGAGCCCAATCCAAGCGCTGGTGAGGACAACGAGGGTCTCTCCTCATGAAGGACAAAGCAGAGCTTTGTTCCCTCTCCGCAGCCCAAGCCCCCAACAGGAACTGGCACTGTCCTCCACTATTTTCATCCCTGTCCTCCACCATTTTCACCCTGACGATCGCACCTCAGGCTGTCCCCGGCATGGCACGGGGTTTCAGCACAGCCTCTCTCTGCTTCCTGGGGCATTCCTCGGGGATTAAATGCACATTCCTGAAAAAGTAACCGCGCTGCTCACCTAAACACTACTTGAGTGTTCAGGTTGCATACTAAAAACACATTATATGGGTGTTATTCAAAACTAAGAAGACCACTTATTTTCCTTGTCTAAACAGCAGGGCTTTGGAGTTAGAAGGGGGCTCAAGCTCTCAGGCACCTCAGGGGAAATCACAAGCAGTAAGCTGCTTTGGATTCGGGGAAATAAATCATGCTTTTTTAACCTGTTGCAGTTTGCAGACCCTGAAAATGTTCCAATGGAGACAAAAACTTCTTTGTAGGCACTCTGGCTTCCTGATGAGCAGTTTGAATTTTTTATAGCTATCTTTCACTGGCCTTTTAAGCCAGGACTGCTGGACTTGGTCTGTTGGCCACTGGCTGAAAATGATGTAAGGCAACTGTACCTCACCCAGAAGAAGAAAGGCCATTCTTCTTTTGGGGATATCTCTGAGGATCAAGGAACTGTAATTACAGTGCAGATCTGCTCATGAAGTAGAGTGAAAGCCCCAAAGGAAATTGAGTCCAAAAGACTCAATTAGTGTGCTTAGGGCTGCATGTTCTGCAAGAGGCATCCAGGCAGCCTCTGATGTTCTTGTTCTTTGAAAGCTGCCTGGATTTTGAGCCAGCAGCGGGTTGCTGCAGCTGAGAGGTCAGCCCCAGAAAGTACATTTTAATATTCAGGTGCACAGCTAATAACTTGACCAAGAACTGAAATTGCTTTTTCTATGCTGGGCAGCCAAGCCAGTACAGCTAGGAAAGCCTTGAAAAAGTCTGAATCTCCGCAGTAGCCTGCATCTAGCCACATCCACTAGGAGCATGTCCAATCATTAGTTATACTACAAATGGAGCAGTGGAGCACCTTGGCTAGGAACATACCTGCAGAGAGGTGAGCAGAGGTGGATCTGACAACTTACACTTTCTATGTCCTTCTTACGCTGGTAGCCTTTAGATTAAAGCAGAGTTTTGCTTTTTATTTTGAAACTCTACTGCAGGTATAACCTCAGACTTGCCATTTACTGTTGTCTCTGTGTGTAGGGGCTTTATGTCATTTATGGCTTTTATAAACAGACTTCTTAAAAATTATTTTAAATTCAGATTAATTGAAAACTGCTTACTCCATAGTCACTGGTATAAAAAGAAGGTATTTTTATGAAACATGGACACTAAAAATTCTGTAGCAGAAAACTATTAAAAAAGAAAATGACCTGTGTCATACAGCCCCAGCTATGCAAACCATAGTCAGGGCTGGGAAGTGAGGTGGGCAGGCAGGTCACTTACACAGCCCCTCACTGTAAAGTTGAAAATTGTCCAGTGACACCTTTTTTTTTCTCACTTGGCCAAATCACACCGAGGTGCCTGCTGTGAAAAAGGCAAAGCTGACGGCAAGGGGAGAGGCTGTCCCCAGACAGGGGGGGAGCATGGCAAGGCAGAGGGACCGAGAGGTGGTACTCACCTGCCTGAAGCAGCATCAGTATGAGCAGCCAGCGGGAGCCCATGGGCAGATCACTTCCACGCTCGTGTACTTCGGGGTTCAGCCGCCGGCACTCCCGGCAGCGCCTCGCCGTGCTGCCAAGTGAGCCGAGGTGTGGTTGTGCTAAACAATCCTCCCGGGCTGCTGCTCCAGGGTTTATATATACATGGCTCTGCGCCCGTCTGAAGAGAAACACCCTCTTCTGCGATGTCCCTGAGCCCCAGCTCGGGTCCAGTCCGTCCCCGCAAAAGGCTCCTTGCTGCGTGGGGCGAGGGCTGGCTCTGTTTGCCCAGCATCACCTTTGGGAGGGAGGGGCTGCTGGAAGGGCATTAGGGTGGTAGTCTCTGGGACAGCCCAAGACACCAGGCACTAAGCCGGGCTCCTTCTTTAAGCTGTTTGCTTACAGACCCTGGTTAACCTCTGAGTAGCTGCGGAAAAGAGAAGCCTTCAACCGGGCTTTCTGTGGCTTGGGCTCGCTGCTGTGGCATCCCCCTGGCAAGGATTTTCTCTTTTTATAGATCACTTTCCAGGGTATTTTTTAAAAAATTATTTTATTTTAAGACTGATTATTTTTCATGTTTAAAAAAGAAGAGACAAAACTATAAAAATCCAACAGAAAGAATACTGTTAAGTGCAAGTACCCAATTATAAACTGACCAGCAGAGCTAATTCTGCACCACTCCGAGGGAAAAATACTCTCTTGGCCTATTGCTGCACCTGACCAACATCAATTGATTTCATGAAGTCCCATCAGTATGTGGGTACCAGCCAGGTAGAAGACCAGCAGCTGGAGCTAGTCCCACAGGGCCAGCTGAGCTCTGGTCACAGCAGGCAGCTGGATTGAAAGGTGTTCTTCTCATTGCACAGTCTCCACTTGTACAGGGTCTCAGGCAATGTGGGCACGAGGGATGTCCAAAGTTATTTTGCCTTTGGGCTTGAAACAGCTCTAAAACTCCCACCCTTCTTGGTGTAGCAGCCAGCTGCCTTGTTGGGGTCTAAATATCTGTCCCTTCCCTGGTGTGGGCAGGATGGGCAGGGTGGGCTGCTCTGCTGGGAGAGGAAGGGGAGGGGAAGAGGGCAAACAGCCCTCTTCCCCTGCATGGCCCTGGACTGCCTCAGCAGCACCCCTTGCCTGAGTTGCCCATGGCAAAGCTGTGCTTCCCTTCTTAATGGCATGGGTTTAAACATTTGCTTTCTAAATATTGGTACTCAAATCAAAGGTCATCAGCAAGTCATTTAATGGTCTTCCTTCTGCTGAGTCCTGCCCTAGTGCAGCTGCTGGCACTCTTTGCCAAGCAAGTTTTCAGGATACAGTATATACTGGGTGCCTTTGATACAGGGCAAATGAAACAGAAGAACTGAGCAAATCTCATGAGCACCACTCACCCAGTTGCTCCCTGCACTACCTCAGAGGGGCTTGAGAGGAGCTGCACAGCTTGTTCTTCTGCCTTTGGAAACTCCCTTCAGTAATTATTAATTTACTCAAGTAATAATGCCAAATCATACAGAATCATTGAATCATAGAATGGTTTGGGTTAGAAAGGACCTTAAAGATCATCAGTTCCAGCCCCCCTGCCACAGGCAGGAACACCTTCCACTAGATCAGGTTGCTCCAAGCCCCATCCAATCTGGTCTTCATCACTTTCAGGGATGGGACATCCGCAACTTCTCTGGGTAACCTCACCACCCTCACAGTAAAGAATTTCTTCCTCATATCTGATCTAAACCTACCCTCTTTCAGTTTAAAGCCATTCGCCCTCGTCCTGTCTCTACGCTCTTGTAAAAATATCCCTCTTCATCTCTCTTGTCAGCCCCCTTTAGGTATTGAAAGGTGATATAAGGTCTCCCCATAGCCCTCTCTCCTCCAGACTGAGCAGCCCCAAGTATCTCAGCCTGTCTTCATAGGAGAGCTGCTCCAGACCTCTGATCATCTTCATTGTCCTCCCCTGGACTTGCTCCAACATTCCACCTCCTTCTTATGTTGGGACCCCAGATCTGGATGCAGTACTCCATGTGGGGTCTCACCACAGCGGAGTAGAGGAGCAGAATTACCTGCCTTGGCCTGTTGGCTATGCTCTTTTGATGCAGCCCAGGACATGTTTGGTTTTCTGGGTTGCAAGTGCACGTTGATGGGTCATGTCAACCTTCTTACCCACCAACACCCCCAAGTTCTTCTCCTCAGGGTTTCTCTCCATCCATTTTCCACCCAGCCTGTAATTGTGCTTGGGGTTGCTGTGTATGTGAGCTGTTGTTGGCAAATGTTTAACCTTAAGAATATAAGTTTGAGGAAGGAGAATGCTGGAGGGCAGTTGTGCTGTGATCAATGGCTCTGTGGATACCAATCCCGTGGAAGTGCAAAGAAGAACATAGGCTTTGAAACACCGTGGGGGGCCTGGCTGAACAACATGCCCTGTTAGAGCAAGCTTCAACCCTGACAGGTGCTTGGCAAGCTTCTTTAGTGGGGACCAAGAGGGAGTTGTGAGGAGCCTCTACAGGTGCTTTACAGGATTCCTTGGATCCCCAAGCCTGGGAACTTCTTCCAAGGGGCGAAAGTGTCTACTCTATGACTTGGATTTGAAAACTGACATTTAATCTTGTTCTTTCAAAGCCTTGATGAATTATAAACCTGATAAAAAAACCACATTATAAAATTTCAGATCACAAATTAATTCTATTCTTCCCATTCTCACAGCCCCCCAAATAACAGATGAGGGTTTTTGCCCCTCATTTAGCAATGAATACGAAATAAAGAAAGAGAGACTCCTTTCACAGCCAAATATATTTGCAGTGTTTGAAGACTTCTGCAGGGTATTAGGGAGGGATGTCCAAATTCAGCCTTAAAGTGGGAAGCAGAATTAATGTATTGCTTCCTTGTGATTGTTTCACACCACTGACTGGTCAAGTTTCTTATTTATCTGTGCAAGTACTGGTTACTGTTGCCTAAGTTAATGGGCATATTTATTAAACAGTATTAAGTGCTAATCACATTCTTACTATGTTATGTCAAATGCACTGAGATCAGGAGGGCATTTTTTATTACTGTTTAGGGAAACAAAATGAATTCCCTGATCCCACCCCTTCATGTGCATTTTGCATGTTACCTTGCTTGAGCTCCACTTCTCACTGGTGTCAAGAGGCAGCACATGAGGCTGTTGGATATCATCTCACCAAACTCAGCTATGCAGATTACTGTCTGTCCAAAACTGCAGGTGCAATAAACTTACTTTGAGCCTCAGGTCACTTGCGTGGGGCAATCAATCTGTACTGTTGGAGGCCTATTTCTTCAGCTCTGTTGAAAACAGAGTTCCTTTGGCATGTACCACCAAACCAGCTGGCCTTCAGGGATGATACTACTTCATGCTCTTGGACTTGTTGAAAGACAATATTAGGGAAAAGTCTTCAGCTGAAGGGGAGAAGAAATTTCTAAGGACTCTACAGTTTTTAACAAAGTTTACCTAACACAGTTCAAGGTGTCAGATCTTCTTGTAGAAGCTGGGCTGTCCTTCACCTCATAGAGTCTGTTCTTCCTCAAATGAAATACACAGACACCTGTGTGGATGTCACCACTAACCACAAGAAGAGGTCTCTGCTCAGTACCAGCAGAAGGAATGATGCTTTTGGTGCACAGGCAAGGGTTTTTCCTATTAGGGGCAGGGGAGGCTTTCTTACAATACTGGATCTGCCCTTCCAAAGACTGGTTTGTAGGACTAAGGAAACTGCAGGATATAGAATGACTGGGTAGTCAGATTTAGAAGAGAAAATCAGTTCTAAAGGGAAAAGAACTCCACGTTACCTCTCAGGAGGAAGAAAAATAACTCTTGAGACTGCCACATGATTTGTGGTGACATAACCAGTTACAGAGTTAACATAGCAATATAATAAGCAAACAGTCTTGTTTAATATTGACTTGCATGGAAGGTCTGCACATACTTTACTGCTGATACAGCCCAGTCAGACCTTGATGAGGAAAGACAACATTATTATTATTTCCAGTTTCTAAGACAGCCCCAAAAGGATTTTTAAAAGTGGCTTCTGGCTTGTGGATGTCCAGTATGTGTCTCCTTGAGCTTCACTGCTGCTGTGCACCAGTCTCATCTTGATGGTAGCATTTCTGAATAGTGAAGCTGGATGTCTCCAGCCTGCAGTACCCTCTCAAAGTCAGTGCCTGCTTTTGTTGTCAATTGTCAGTCACACACACACACCTCTCTCAGGTGACAAAGGAGAAAGGCCACCTCTCTCCGACTTTTGCTGTCACAGGTTTTTCCTAGCAGAGTCTCAGCAGGTGCTGTCTCCTGAACTGACTGTGGGGGACCTTCCCCTTGGAAGTTGTTTCTACATATGATGTTCCCATTCTGCACACTTCCTTGGGGTTCTCCCACAAAGGAGTGGACCTCATGGTCCATATGTATAACTCTGCTGGAGGAAAAGAGGCAGAGCTGATTCAAGTCAGAAATTATAGATAGCTGAAACAGGGGGGTAATGTGATATGCTGAGGGAGCAGTAGCTTCTTTCTTGTTAGCATTGTTGGATGTAGGGTAAACATTGTGGGCCATGTGCTGGAGAAGAGCTACACCACCCCAGCAGGCTGCCTTTCCATCCTCATGGCTGCCTTCATCCAGCCCTTGTGAGGATCTGCCACCACTCAAGCTCCGTTCATTACACATGAAACCCAGAACTGCAACCCTTCCCACATCCCTGCCACAGGCTGTGGAGAGAAGAGATGCAATCCACAGAAGGGAGATGGGGTGCAGGTGTCCCCTTGCTGTGCAGTCACTGCAGATGGGTACAGACCCTGGCTGCCTCCTTCTCTTGTCACTGGAAATATCAAGGCCTTCTGGCTTTAACAGTCTTCCCAAGTGTTAGTGACACTATCTCTTAGGCTGAGGCCTTCAGAAGTGTCCATTCCCTAGTTTGTTCTGCCCCCTTTGCTGTAGACTAGGCAGCTGTCCTGCTGCCCGAGGGACAGGCTCGCTCAGGAACAGAGAGGTTCTTCTGTCCCCCAGAAACTGTTGAGCTTTCGTGGGC